ACCTCCTCACTAACCAGCTCGGTGCCCGGCGCTCCGCGTAAGTGGTGGCTCACGAGACCAGGGAACTGAGGCCCCAGGCGAGGGCCTGGCCGCGGCGCCCTCTGAACCGAGGCCCAGCCCACGCCAGGCGCTCCAGCAGTCAGATGCTGCGGCTGACTGGGCTCCGCCCTCCTCCCAGCCTCTGTTCACGTGGTGGAGATGGAAGATGCCCGGAGGGGCCCGGCCAGCCCAGGGGTCTGCCTGCGGGGCGGGGCGGGGCGGGGAGGGGCGGCTGTCTGCGCAGGGCCCTCACCTGGCTTTCCTGCCACTAACATGACTAATAGCCCCGAGCTCGCGTGGGAGGGGGTTGAAGAGGCCCGGTCTCCACCCGTGGGGTCCTCGTCCTGGCTGGACCCCAGATTCTGATAAAGCGCCTGCAGGGTAGGAGACTAAGGACCAGCCGCCGCCCAACCCCCATGTGCCGGCTCCCTGATCCTCGGGGCTGTCAAGCAGTGGGGCTGGACCCCCCCTGTCGCTGGGCCAGCAGAGCCTCGTCTCTGAGGGGGTGCGGCAGGTGGGGCCTGGGGTCCGTTCTGACCCCCGCCCCGTCTGTCAGCCACTCGGGCTGAGGGGAAGGCCGTGCCTTGCAGAGCTGGAGGAGGTGCCGCTGACGGTGAAGAGTGACATGGGCGCTGTCGTCCGGGTCATGCAGCTGCCGGACTCAGGCCTGGAGATCCGCGACCGCATGTGGCTCAAGATCACCATCGCCAACGCCGTCATCGGTGAGGGTCCCACGGCCAGCAGAGGGGGCGGGGCGGGGCGGCCCCGGGCCCCTGCCTGACGGCCGCCCACCACACCAGGGGCGGACGTGGTGGACTGGCTGTACACGCACCTGGAGGGCTTCCGTGAGCGGCGGGAGGCGCGCAGGTACGCCAGCAGCATGCTGAAGCGCGGCTTCCTGCGGCACACGGTGAACAAGATCACCTTCTCCGAGCAGTGCTACTACGTCTTCGGGGACCTGTGCAGCAGTGAGTAGGGGCTGCG